AGCTTCCAGGCAAGAGCCTGGAAGTTTCCCTGTAGGGAAACAGGCTGGGGCCTGTAGGCCCTGTCAGAAGGAAGCTTCCAGGCAAGAGCCTGGAAGTTTCCCTGTAGGGAAACAGGCTGGGGCCTGTAGGCCCTGCCAGAAGGAAGCTTCCAGGCAAGAGCCTGGAAGTTTCCCTGTAGGGAAACAGGCTGGAGGTCCGGGACGGGCCCTGCAAGGCCCGTGTGGCTGCACAGTATGCCACAATACAGCAGAAAGCGTAGGAAAAGACAAAAAAAAAAGAGACCCCAAAAAAGATTAAAAATGTTATGTGGCACAAAAAAAGAACGATTTTGCGAGCAAAATTTTCCCATGCCACTGTCTTGAAATCTTTATTAGATTAACTTCTTGGGTGTGTGCCAACTGTGTTTGGCACACCCTGCAGGACACCATGCTCGAACAATCGTGTAGTACACGCTTTCTTGCCTGATACGCTCTTTAAAGCGTCAATTTCAGCAAACTCCAATTCCATTCCTTTTAGACCGGACTTTCAACATCAGACTACCGTCTTCACCAGAATACAACGTACGGTCATTATTGCTGTTGTATCTAGACTCAAAGTTGTCCCAAATGCAGCTACAATAACCGTATATCTTGTATGTGGGTGACAACGGTAGTCGATACGCATTGACACGACTGCACAGCACACCCCACAGCACGCGATGCACCACACAACATGGTGCATCATAAGTATGAGATGCACATTTAGCCATCAGTGACATGAATACCCTAATCAGTATCCGAACATGGCTCAGCTATGTACTACCAGCAAGAAGGTGAAGTGAAAGAATCTCACCTGAACCAGCTTCTCGAATGAAAACTCTAAACAGCAGCAGCCGCATTCTATCTCCTGGCCCTCTGCACAGTATTCCCTTGTGTTCAATGTATCGGCAAGCATGGCATCCTGCATCTCCTGGCTCTTCGCATACGCTTTCACAACCCTTGCCCACTCCTCCTCAAATATTGGGCATTTGACAGGTGGTTGCATTCGTGGTGGTAACCGCCCCCTGAATAATAACTTGATCCCCCCCGGTGGCACCCAGCTTCGGGATGCTGTATTTCCCAAGATTCCCATAACCAACCAACCATCAATCAATTGATCAATCAATCAACCGATCAGAATCAGTCCATCAACCAACCAACCAACAAACCAACAACCAACAAACCATTCAACCAAACAACCAACCAATCAATCAACCAATGAATGAGCCAGTCAGTCAGTCAATCAATCAATCAATCAGCACTCCCAACTCCTCCCCCCTCCCCTTCATGTCAACCTGCTCCGCTACCGGCTCAAACGTCAATGGTTATGATCACCATGAAGATGAAGAAGCAGGTATGCATTTTCCTTTGGCTCTTCCATAAATGAATAGACAACTTCTTAACCACCACTACCTTTTCCCATGCGAGCCACCATCGGGCCCCCAAATCTTTAGGAGACCAAAACGAAACGACGGCAACCGATGAGATTTATCAAAGGCGGCCATTGTCGGGCTCGGCCTCTGATTTTTTAGTAGGATATTTTTAAAAGGGCCTTTACCCGATACAGGCCTTGTAAAAGTAAAGCATCGTGAAAGGGTACCTCGCCAGGACCCAGAAACGTGAAAGCAGGCCAAAGGTTCAGTTCCCTATCCACAGGCACATCCTAAACTAAAGCAAAGGTCATTGCAGCAAGACATACCTGTTCACAGGAGATGCACACCTCATGTCTGTTCGAGATAAGGGTATGTCTGTACATGCAGTCAGTCTGTCTGTTCGTACCAAAGAAGGTGTCTATTCGCACAATGTGAGTGTTTGTTCAGGCAGTAAGTGTGTCTGTTCGTCTAAGTTGTGCCTGTCCGAAAGTAAAGCCAATAAACAGAGTCCCAGTTCTGGTCTAAGTCTCAGGGACAGTCCAGATCCAGACATCCAAGTCCAAATCTAGGCCGAGAGGCCTCAGCAGCAGTTGAATTTCATTGGGACAGTACTGGGACACATGCAATGCAGGGTCTGGGACAAAGGAAGGCCTGAAGCAGCCAAATGCAGACCCAGCGAGGAGAGGCCAGCACTATAAAGGAAGCAGCCAGCCTCATTCCTCGCCAGATCTCCACTGGCTTCAATGCGTGGAAGTGCTGTTGTGCTTGTGCGCCAGTCAATAGGAGCAGCGCTGGAGGAGAGGATGCGCTAGACAAAGACTGTGCGCTGGAAGGGATGCAGCCATAGCTGCCCAGCGAGTTAGTAGTAGAGTAGAGGGTTAGTAGTTAGCTATGAGTAGCATTCAGAGTAGATCCTCATGAGTGAAGAGTGTGTATGCATCGTAGGAGGAAGGGACTGAGGCAGAGAGTGTTCATTCAAGGTTTGGCTATGGAGGATACTTACCTGAGTTGGAGGTGAACTGCAGAGGTGGCGCTGATGAGTAGTGACCACATTGATGACTTGGAGACAATCTGCAGGAGTAGCGCTGATGTACTGGAAGTCATATTGATGAGTTGACAAGGGATTTGCATTGCGCTGATGAGCGCTGGACTCAAGGAACTATGAAACTCTTTGTAATCATATTTTTGATAATATAAGCTGTGAAACTCGGTTCTCTTCTCATCTACCTTTGTCTACTGTCGGTACTTCCATTGCCTTTTCAAACTTGGCGCGGTTTTCTTTGCCGGCACGTGTTTTTTATGCCCATTCGATACTCAAAGGTGACACGAACGCACTTACCTCTAAAAACTAGTAAAAAGAAATAACTCAAGAGTTTATTTTTAACACAAGCAATATGGCGTTCCAGAAACTCTGAAACTCCAAGACGGAACGCGGTTCCGAAGCAAAGATTAAGACTCGAACGGAGGGAGCACAAAGTGGGGAGCGCAACTTGTGCCGGATTGCCGCAACAGGCTTGTGGAACAGAGCACACTGGTTAAGACCAGGTTCATTTGCCTGGCTGACGGGTCGTAATAGCATGCAGGGTCACGTGTCACATGGCTATCTCTTGCGTAGCGGAGGGGCGTTGGGTTTGGTATGTGGCGTTAGGTTAGGTTGATAGGTGGAGACTGCCACGTCATCCTCCTGTATCAAACATCATTAGCAAGCTCAGCAGCGGCTTCGCCGTCGTCTTATCACGACGTCTTCAGCAGCATTGTCAGAGTCAGCCAGTTTGAATGTCTCATCAATGTTTCAATGACATTAGCGGCCTATGACATAGTTGATAGTGCACTGCCTCTCGTGGGCTGGTGGCTACTCGTGGGCTGCACCACGTTTTTTCGCCTGGCTGACGGGCTGTGAAAGCTGGCGAGGCCACGTGTCATGTGGCCATCTATTTCGTAGTGGAGGGGCGCTGAGTTTCCTCCTCCATCAACATCACCAGCAGACTCAGCAGCGGCTTCGCGATCGTCTCACCTCATCGTCAAAGTCAGCCTGTTTGACGTCTCATCAAGTCTCATTAGCGGCAGCGGCTTCGCGATCGCCTTATCGTGACGTTTTCATCAGCATCGTCAGCGTCAGCCAGTTTTGTGCACTGCTGGCTATTTGTGGGCTGCACAAGGTTTTTTCGCCACGTGCCATGTGGCCATCCATTTCATAGCGGAGGGGCGCTGAGTTTCCTCCTCCATCAACATCACCAGCAGACTCACCAGCGGCTTCGCGATCGTCTCATCTCATCGTCAACGTCAGCCTGCTTGACGTCTCATCAAAGTGTTACATGTTGTGCCTGCAACAGTCTGCACGGGCCATTTTCAGGCCCGTGTCGTTTTCAGCCTGAAAGCCTGAAAATGAGGGCCTACAGACCCCGTGTTGTTTTCAGGCCAAAAGCCTGAAAACAAGGGCCTACAGGCCCCGTGTCGTTTCAGCCTGAAAGCCTGAAAATGAGGGCCTACAGGCYCTGTGTCGTTTCAGGCTAAATCAGGGCCTTTCCRKCCCTGAGTATTTTCAGCCTGAAACTGAGGGCCATTTTCAGGCCCTCATCAGTTCGACCTGCCCTGAAACTCAGGCACCAGACCAGGGTTTTAGCTCAGGCCATTTTTGGNCCATTTTCAGGCCCTCATCAGTTCGACCTGCCCTGAAACTCAGGCACCAGACCAGGGTTTTAGCTCAGGCCATTTTTGGCCTATTTTCAAGACAATCTTTGTTTGAGCTTCAACCCCAGGGTCTGGCACAAGAGCAGCCTCCTGGACGGGCCAGCACTATATAAGACTGGCACGCCCTGCAGGCTGCAGGTAGTTGGGAGGTAGCTCCTAGGTACTTCCAGGCACTTCATGTGTGAGGCAGGAGGCAGTCAGTAGTCTTCAGGAATCGGCAGCAGCACTCTGGAGGAGCGCTGCAGGAGTAGTGGTCGCGTTAGCAGTAGTCTTCAGCGCTGGGCGCTAGTAGCGTTAGGTGTAGTCTTCAGCGCTGGGCGCCATAGCTAGAGTAGTACTAGAGAGAGAGAGAGAGATTGGCGGAGGCCAGGGATACTTACCTGCAGCGCCGTTGCTCCAGCTTCGTCTTCGAGGTACCTGCAGCACAGCGCCAACTTCACAGGTTAGTACCTGGCTCGTGAGAGAGAGAGAGAGTTCTTCTTCTTCCTCTTCTCAGTCCACCATCTCCTTCTCACCCTCTCGCTATCTGACTTCACTGCATCAGCAGACTACGAGCGAAAGAGAGAGAGAGAGCTTGGTGACATTTGGATCCACACTCAACATCGGACTTCAGACATTTTGAGGAGGGATTATTTGGGACTTGTAACGAGACTTGGTGTTGACGACTTCCCATCTCCCCCTTCCTCTCCTTCGTCTGATCCCCTCCTCTTCGTCTGTGTATGTCTGGACCTGGCGCTCCTTTCCTGTGTATAGCGCCAGGCTCCTTCACACCTCGTGATGAGCATGATGTATGTTTAGTCTGCGTTGAGACATTGATTGGGCTAGTCATTAGTATTCTAGCATTCTGCTTCGCTATCGTGCACTACGTGAATGGGGGTCAGTCCCGGTCAGGTCAGGAGTTGTATCTAAGTCTTCCCTATCGGAATGCACATTGCTTGTTGAGATTCTACTTGCACTGCATTGTCCATTCAGTCCTTTTTATCACATTGTGGATCCTCGGTTATTATGTACATCGCCCATCTGCACATGTAACAGTTGGTATCGGAACACCGCACGTGAATCAGGACAACCTGAACTGACACGTGTGCGGGGACTAGGTAGCTGATTACGCTTGACTGATTGATTAGAGCACACTAGTTAGCCCCCAAAATCACGATTTTGACCTTACTGCCGAAAATCAAAATTTTTTTCTTTTCTTGGATTTGTTTTCTCGCTATTTCTGTTGTGGAAAAACGCAATAGCGCAACATCTGAGATTTCCATTTTCGTTTTTCTTCTGAAAATTCGAAATTTCGTTGTTGAAAATCCGGAATATCTACAGACTGTATTGGAGCGTTGAATAGACTGCTGGGGACAAAACTCAAACATGTTAGAATAAGGGTGGCCTACTGGCTTTAGGTGTTCAGAAAGGTTTTCTCAAGGTGGAATAAGGGAGGCCTACGGGCCTTAGATCGGGTTTTGAACCAGAGGGCGGGTAAATAATGGCCAGGTCAATATCTGAGGATTGGAAAGCTTGACCAGTGCTGGAGATACTAAAGACGAAGGAGATAGGGTTAAGAAGTAGATGAGACTTAAGGATATAGGAGGCATCCGGTGGTAAGTGCAAAAAAGAGCGTTAAATAGAAAAGGAGATTCATATGAGGGTGAGTGTAAGAGGCATTCGGCAACCTCTTTTCAGCAACCGCCTAATAACAGACTCTAGGGGGCGTGTGCGGAACAACTCAGATGCCCCTTGGAAAGGTTGGGTGAGACATGGGTTGCGAAGGGGTGGGGACCTGTGGGATTATTGAGAGCTTCCCACTTCATTAGTACACCACCCTCAGAAAAGGCCCCTGCATAAAGGAAGGAGACTGGGTGGGGATACCTGACCTTGAGAGGGAGGTGGGGCGTGTGCACCTTACGAATCCAACACATGTGCTACTTGAAGTCTTCTTCATCCAAAAGGGCGATAAATTACAGTGGAATCGACAATCCTTCACATGGAAAGA